ATTCACTAATCACTAATTATCCTAAATTCTCCAAAAAATATTCCTTACTTACTTTCTACCCCATAAAAACCAATGTATACATGCTCCAATACATGCTCCAAAAATGTTAGATAAAATATAAAACATAAATAGTAATTTTTCCGGACCAAAATAATACTTATTCTCGGGCTGATGGTACTATTCACAGAGCAGTGGTACTATTCACAGACCGGTAAAACTATTATTTTAGACACAGAAAAATCAGGACGTTACAACTTCATTATATGAAAAATAGAATTAAGTATATAAAAAGTAGCATTGCAAATAGTTTATACGGCAAAGTGCAATAACAAATTAACCACTTTTATTTATTTTAATCTAAACAAAACTTATGCTTTAATATTATATAGATAAAAACAATGAGTATATAATGAGCATATTCAACGTGCAATGTACGCGATACAAAAGACTAGTACTATATATAAATGTGAGAGTAGGGAAGGAATAATGAGATTTCTGATATCGCCCTTAATAAAATTTAGAATATCAAAAAATAGCCTTAGTTATAGCCAATTCAAAAATTACATTTTATACCAACGAATGTTTGGATGAGTGGTTCGACACTCTTCTCCCTTAGGTGAAGTCGATGATTCGATGCTCATGGATGGAACAAATACTCACTGGGAGCATTTTATCCCTTCTTGAGCCAACCTGGTGTGAACAATATTTAGTTCTAGCCCTATGGGCTCGAGATACATGTGTTAAGACAAAAAAAAAAAAAAAAAGCAAAAAAAAAAAAAAAAGGAAATGTAATTTTATATTTTTATTTGGATATATTTATTATTTTATTGGATATAATTTCTAAAAATTATTTTTTAAATAAATAAATATATATAATAAAAAATATACTCTACTTTTTTTTGTATAGTAGTAGGAAAAATTATGGGTTTATTTGGAGATGATATAACATTTCTTTTATGTAATCTTTTTTTTATTACTTAATTTAACTTATTTATTTATTTTACATTTGCAACTTAGAACAATAGAGAAACGAAATATTTAAATAAACTCATTAACTGATCAATATTGGATCCTAGCATGATTTGATTTGTAATTTTCATTTATTAACTTGTTTTTTTTTTTTTGTCCATCAAAATCAAATTTAATTAAATTATAGCATTTCTAGAGTTATTTTTGAAACTCAAACTAGTAAATTTTTAATATAATTTATTTCTTATTATATGTTGAGTTCTTAAAAGAGTTTTATTCTTAATAAAATTTGTTATTTGTTATTTTCTTTTTGGTTATTGGATTAATTTGTAACTACTATCACTTTAATTTAGTAAGAAATTTATATATCCCTTGCAATAAATAGATGGCCTCATGATTAAGCATTTTCAACTTTCAATTATGCTAACGATTTAATAACTATATTTGTAGCTCCAGAATGTTCCAGTTTATGCTCCTACCTATTATCTGGATATACCAAGAAAGATGTACGGTTTAATGAGGCTACTACGAAATAGTAACGGCAGCAAGTGATTGAGTTCAGTAGTTCCTCATAGAAAATTATTGACTTTAGAGATATAGTAATATGGAGAAGACAAAATTGTTTCAAGCACCGATAGAATCAGAAGCGCCCAAAGTTACAATCCCTACTGCGAAATAGTGCACCGACAAAGTTACAATCCCTACTGCGAAATAGTGCACCGACACGTCTTCATCGATGTTGTTTTTCGACTGGAAGACCGAGAGCTAACTATCGAGACTTTGGGCTATCTGGACACATACTTTGTGAAATGGTTCATGCATGTTTGTTACCGGGGGTAACAAGATCAAGTTATAAAATTACATCAAATATCAATTGTATGGTATTATATATTTATATCTATCTATCTAAATTTTGTATTTATCTACATAACAAAAACTATATGTAATGTATTATTTCATGTTCAGTTTACTCTTCTACTTATTTATTCTATTTTTTTATTAAAAAATAAAATGCCGAATACATAGATTGCCCTTTGAAATTTCTTCCAAAAACTTGTTGCCCTTTATACTTTTAAAGTGACCTTGTGGCCTTTTGAATTTTTTTTTATAATAAATACACACCTAAACACGTCAGAAAATGAGATTTGAGGAACATATGCAGCTGAAGAGCGTAATGTCTTTTGAAACCATCCAACATGGCATTATCTTCAAGCTATCACGGTTCTTTCATAAACCGAAAGGTCAACTCCTTCATCAACTTGAGTTTTTCATTAAAGAGGCACAAGAGATGAAGAAATCAATAAGCACAGAACTGTTGAACCTTTTTGTTTTTGTCGCAATTGCTATGAAACATTATTACAAAATCCAACAGTATATTACACTTTCATTTTCTTCACAGGGACAGATTTCCGGTGATAGATCCCCCAAAACTTGACGACTGTTGGTTAAAGTGGCTCAAGCCCATTTATGGTTTTGGGATAAATTCCCACATCGAAAAATTAAAAAGGAGGTGGGGAGATTTTTGGCTATAAAAGGAGCCTAGCCTCTTCAGTTTCAATTGTCCCAGCTTGTCCTCAATATCTAATGTGTTGGACAAGTTTTCTCTTCTCTCTCTATTTGTATATTTCTTATGTGAAATATTAATTTGGTAGTGTCCGAGGGCATAGGCAAAATTGGCCGAACCACGTTAAAATTCTGTTATTTTCTTTTATTTATTGCTTTGTCTTCATTTATTTAATAGCTATTATTGGACAACCGACACGAATTTAGTCTAAGGAAAGTGGATTTTAAGTGAGACTGCTTGTGACTTCTCCACTTACCTGGGAATTTACATGTAGTTACTTAGTGCAGTAATTCACAAATTGTTTTAATTTGGTGGAAAAAGCCCAATTTCCACAACAAGGACTAATCTCTAAATCTTGAAAACCAATTTCACCAACCCCACACTCATTTTTCCTCTTTCTGTTTTTTGCAATTTTATTTCTTTAAACTCTCCACCAATTGAAACGTAATCAAATCCATCAATCAAAATCCATAATTTCGAAGAAATTAAGTATTCAGCCAAAAATGAAATACATACTATCTGATCAATTGAATTCCACAAGAGATGATAGGATAGTTAAATTTGCATGATTTAGAAATCATTGAACTTGAAAAGCAACAACGAATTAATAAGGTTGGATTTGAAAGTATAAGAGACCAAAAGATTATTTGGCAAAAGTTTCAGAAGGCAATTTATGTATTCAGCCAAAAATGAAATACATACTATCTGATCAATTGAATTCCACAAGAGATGATAGGATAGTTAAATTTGCATGATTTAGAAATCATTGAACTTGAAAAGCAACAACGAATTAATAAGGTTGGATTTGAAAGTATAAGAGACCAAAAGATTATTTGGCAAAAGTTTCAGAAGGCAATTTATGTATTCAGCCAAAAATGAAATACATACTATCTGATCAATTGAATTCCACAAGAGATGATAGGATAGTTAAATTTGCATGATTTAGAAATCATTGAACTTGAAAAGCAACAACGAATTAATAAGGTTGGATTTGAAAGTATAAGAGACCAAAAGATTATTTGGCAAAAGTTTCAGAAGGCAATTTATGTATTCAGCCAAAAATGAAATACATACTATCTGATCAATTGAATTCCACAAGAGATGATAGGATAGTTAAATTTGCATGATTTAGAAATCATTGAACTTGAAAAGCAACAACGAATTAATAAGGTTGGATTTGAAAGTATAAGAGACCAAAAGATTATTTGGCAAAAGTTTCAGAAGGCAATTTATGTATTCAGCCAAAAATGAAATACATACTATCTGATCAATTGAATTCCACAAGAGATGATAGGATAGTTAAATTTGCATGATTTAGAAATCATTGAACTTGAAAAGCAACAACGAATTAATAAGGTTGGATTTGAAAGTATAAGAGACCAAAAGATTATTTGGCAAAAGTTTCAGAAGGCAATTTATGTATTCAGCCAAAAATGAAATACATACTATTTGATCAATTCACAATAGATGATAAGACAATTAAATTTGTGTGATTTAGAAATCATTGAACCTGAAAAGCAACCACGAATTAATAAGGTTGGATTTGATTCTTATTGGAGAAAAGGTATATGCTCTCTTTCTAATTTTTGAAATTAATGTAACAATTTTCTTTGATTTATCTATTTCTGATTTGGTTTTATTGTATTTAATTGTAGGAAAATAACAGTGGATCAACTATATTTTTGAGACAAAAAAGTAAATGTCTAAGGGGTTACATAAAAATGGTTATTTTACTCATCCTTTGGTATTCGATTCGATCTCATTCAAATAAATCAGATAAAATACGATCTGACTGATGAGATATAAATATATATCAATTTATTTCAAACATATTTGAATCCACTCGATAACTTTATTGTCTTTTTTTTTTAAATTAAGCTATTTTAATTATTATATTTATTTTTAACTTCACCCTAACTCGACTCCGATCTGATTAGTTGTGGAGATGGATATTAATTTATTTGGCAGGTCGGATTCGAATATTATCAAACCGACCTGAATCTGATTCATGACCAAGCCTCCCGCTGCTTGTGATTGACACGTGATAGCAAGTGTTTGGGCCTCGTGGCAATGGACCCATAGATTATTTTCACAACTCAATGTTAACGTTAAAGGCCCAACTTTTGAGCCTACAATATTCAATAATCAAGTAGGGGCAGCCCAAATTGGTGACAGCTAGAAGTAAGCCATCTGGATTGTTCCATCCAATAAATCACAGCCGTCGATCATAGAAAACCCTAAAATCTCCCAAAGCCCTAAATTCCGTTACTCTTCTATATAAAAAGCTCCTCTTTGTCAGTTTTCTCATTCGGCTGTGTCTTTCTCTCGGTCTCCGTTTCTGGTGTGGCGCTGGTCACAGCGATCGATATTCTTTTAGGGTATATCAACGGCTTTGTTTGATGATCGATTGATTAGGTTTTGTTCCTTTTAATGGTTAGTTATAATTAAAACCAATTGGAGTTACAAAGGGCAATGATGATAGATCCAAAGGCTTGTTTCTCAAGAACATTCGCAGTGGCCGCCTAAGAGCTTTCGCCTTTCGCCGGGCTTGAGAGCTTGTGCTGCTTTTATCCTTCCTTGGATGTCTGAGCCAATCACTCCTAAAAGTATACTGTTTCCCATTTTTATACGTTTGATTAGGTAGAAACCATTTTATTTTAACCGTTGTGTTTCTTTTTTCCGCTTTTGGTTATTTTAGGTTCTTGAGTAATTGAAAGTGAAAATGCAGAAATTTGCGCCCCTTTCATGGTTTGCATTTCTCTGATATCTGCTGATTACTGGCAATTTTGGGGTTACGGTTTATTGTAGTTTTATCTGGTTGCTGAAAAATTTTTGGCGGTGGTTCGTATTTGTTTTGAGTTTAGCTAATTGCTAGATGTTTTCAGAATTATTAGCAATTTGTACATATATGGGGATGACACGTCTGCCCCTTTAGCAGCATTTTGAGTGCTTTAGGGATGAACGAGTCCCTAAAATTTAACTCTAATCCACCTTATCACTTTGTCAGCATTTTTGTTTTGTATCTTGCTGATCATTAAAGAGTGGAATAAATGCTCTTTCAATCATCAAATTGTTTGGAAGAAGCTTTCGCCTTCGCCAGGCTTGAGAGCTTATGCTGCTTTAATCCTTCCTTGGATGTCTGAAACTTCTACATTCTTTTTATCAGAAATATTAAATAAGATTTGTTTTTATCAACCTTGATGAAATGTATAATAATCATACAATGTGAATGATTCAAATTTAAATATTTGTTTGTTCTTATAAATTTAAACATTTGGTTTTTCTCATGATCAGTTTGTTTTACTAGTATACGCCCTTCATTGAAATTTATAATGCCGATGTGTTGATGATGACAAATCCAAAGGCTTGTTTCTCAAGAACATTCGCAGTGGCCGCCTAAGAGCTTTCGCCTTCGCCAGGCTTGAGAGCTTATGCTGCTTTAATCCTTCCTTGGATGTCTGAAACTTCTACATTCTTTTTATCAGAAATATTAAATAAGATTTGTTTTTATCAACCTTGATGAAATGTATAATAATCATACAATGTGAATGATTCAAATTTAAATATTTGTTTGTTCTTATAAATTTAAACATTTGGTTTTTCTCATGATCAGTTTGTTTTACTAGTATACGCCCTTCATTGAAATTTATAATGCCGATGTGTTGATGATGACAAATCCAAAGGCTTGTTTCTCAAGAACATTCGCAGTGGCCGCCTAAGAGCTTTCGCCTTCGCCAGGCTTGAGAGCTTGTGCTGCTTTATCCTTCCTTGGATGTCTGAGACATTGGTTAGGGATTGATTTTTCAATTTTAATTTGGGGTGTAAGTATGATTTGCATGTGTCTGTTTATTATGAGCAGGGTATTTTTGCTGTATGAAACCTTTCTCAGTTAATAACTAATGGTGTTCATTTGAGGTTAATAAAATTAATTTTAAAGTCACAGTAGTGGAGTTCAGTCTAAATTTTTTCCATTTTCTGTTTCGTGCTTACAGTTTTGTGATTTTGTATTGATCTGAAAGCTATATGTACCAAGGGAAGGCATAGCATAGCAATGGGTGGCCTTGACCTTGACTTGCCAAAGCGGCTGTAGCTATATCAATTACCAATGAGATGTTTTCTGGCCGGTTGTTGTATGAGATCTCTATGATATCTCTGTTGACACATCTGCTTACCGAGCTTCTCACATCATCATCATTATTATTATTATTATTATTATTATTATTATTATTGTTAAGGGGGAAAACGGCATAGGATTTAGCCTTTTTGAGGCACTTTCGAGAAACAATTTTTTTATTCACATTCTGAACATTCTCTAGTACGAGAGTTTAGATTGAGGTTTTTTAGGCAAATAGAAATGTATTGTATATGTGAATGGTACAAATTCAAATTTTTGTTTTTTACTTGTAATCCTTGTGTATGAATATTTCTCTAGTTCTAAATTTATAAACGTGAATTTGTGGTTTTTGGTTTTCTTGTACTACTATATGAACTCTTTAGAAATACATAATTACCAATGTGAATTTGTATTTCCAATGGCTAGTTGAAGAGCTTGTGCAGCAGCTTTATCCTTGCATGTTTGAGATAATGCTCCTGTTTACGTGGTTTTTGTTTTTAACCGGTGGTTGGATTTGCATAATGTGTTTGTGCTTCTTTCTCCTGTTTGTGCTTAGGACATGCCATAACTGACAAGCAAAATTAAAGATATTTTTTTCATGCCCTTGAGTAAAAAACAAGTGATGAATCATTAAATCAAAATTTTTTGAAAATAAATGTAATTAATTTTAAAACTTGTACAGAAAAAAGGAAAAGAAAGTATCTTATATTTCAAATTTATTAAAAAAAGGGAAATAAAACATCTGATTTCAGAAGGAAAAGTTGATTAATTTCGCAAGTTGTTGTGGATGAGATAATTATTTTCCCTTTCATAATTTAGAGTTCAGGTATTTAAATTGTCAAAAAAAAAAAAAAATCGATAATTCTAATGGACTAAATAAATATTTTTCCTTTCATAATTTATGGGGCGACGTATCTAAATTGTAAAAAGAAAAATCGTCCTGTTCAGGTTAGTTTAGTTGAATCTCCAAGATTTCATGATATTTTTGTTTATAATTTAAAAATAAGGTATGGCCTATTTTTTTTTTTTTTCCAGAAATGCATTATTGTTTAAGAATATAATTTGTGTTTTGGTATGCAAATCAACTTACTAGAATGAAATCATAATATACATTTGATTATATTTAAATGGTAAGGATAGATTTATGATTTATTGCAATTTAGCAAATGATCATTAACATTATATATATATATAGGCGCTAGGGAGAAACATGGAAATTTTGTATTGATGTGACATTTACTTCCTTAAAATAGTAAAACTCTATAACAGTGTAGCATTTCCATTTATATGAGAAATTTTTCAATATTTTTCTTTTTTTAATTACTTTTTTCTCTTTCATTTATTATTTAATTATAATTTGCTCTTCAATCTTATGAATTTTAAATTAAATTATAGACTTAAATATAATTATTTTGAATTCATTTATGTAAGTTTCAAAATTTAAGAACAAAAGTTGAATTACTTAAAATCGAACTAAAATAAATTTTTTATCATATACTCAGACAGTCAGACTTACTTCTATCTTGATGTTCTATGTATTTTTTTTTCTTATATATAATTAAAATTCTTTTAATTCTGTATAAGAACATGAGATTCTTCGTATTTAAGAACCTAACAATATTTACATATTGTTTTAATATGTAAAATAATGTTTATATTTATTGTTTTAAGTTTAACTAATAAAGAGAATTTATTATTTTTAATTTGTTAATGTTTTTAAATATATATAGAAAAAATTGGATTAGTAGTTTTTGTTATTAAAGTCAATCAAATTTAATTTGTATCAATTATATATAAGTGTTAATCAGCACAATGTGCAAGCATATGACTAGTTTGAGTAATAGTTGTAGACGAATTAAATTAACTGATTTTTTTTTGCCGCTTAAAAATTAACCGAATTAATATTTTGACTGAATTTAACCAATTGAATTTTTTTGAAATTAGTAATTACCCGAATCTTTAACCGGAATTAGATTTTTTTTAACCAAACCAATTACTGATCCAGTCCAATATGGTCTGGTTTTATGCTACAAACCACACAACTTTAATTTTAAATAAGAAAGTTAAAATTTTTAAAATAAACTAAATGTATCAAATCTTGAGATTCACAACTTTTTTTTTTCTTTTGAATAAAAAAAAAAAAAACTTGAAACTACTAACTTCATTTTCTTTCTAAAAATTATAAATAATAGTCTAAATTTTCTTGACAAATCAACTTTAATCTGGTGTACCTGATTTTTAGAAAATCCTTATTTCATAACTAATAATTAATTATTTAATAAATGTTTGGTACATAAATGTTTATATGTTTTGTGTGATTTATGAATGATTTAAATTTTTTACTATTTAATTATTATGATTTATATGTTGAAATGTTTATTTATGTTGTTAAATTATTTATGAGTATATTTTGTTAATTATTTACAAATAATTATAGAAAAAAATGAAAAAGTAATATGTTAGATCGATCTGATTCCCGCTCCACTCATCAAGTCGGTTGGATATCAGGTCCAGTTTTAAAAACATCTATTTATCCCCGACCAAAGATCACCTGGGCAGTAATTAAGTAAAAAATCAGGGGGCTGGACAGTAATTTACTATACTATATACATACATATATGTATATATTACACATACGGTTTGAACTTCGAAGTTTTCTCCGGAGTTATTTTACAGGCTGACGTTCATTGTCAATTTCTGCGAGTCTCAATTATTTTCCCTCTCTTCAAATGAAAATTGAACTGAACGAAGTAATCAGTAATCTCAAGCATGGATACAAATGTTTCTCTCACGTCAAGAGGGTTTCAGCTTCTGGGTTCCAGATATCGGTGGCTGGTGTTTTTGGTGTTGCTGGTTTGGTTTTGGCTTTATTAAGAGACCGCAGCTTGGGGCATTTAGTTCCTTTACCTTGGTTGGCTCAAAGAGAAAATCGTCTTGAGAAGCTCTACTTAGTTCCCGGCTTGCAAAATCTTGGCAATAATTGCTTTTTGAATGTTATATTACAGGTATGATCAAGTTTAGCAACTGGGTATGTTTGTATATGTATTGATGAATTGAATTCTATTTGGTTAGTGAATAGAAAGCGAAATAAATTGAACTGTTCAATTGTGAAGTTCCTTACTTCATTTCTATATAGCATGGTTATTCACTATATTGAGATTATTGACTAGTTATTAAACAAATGCAGTCCAAGGGTCAAGATCTTGTCTTTACTTTCTTTTTTTTTTTTTAATGAGTTCTCAGTACTAAATTGCTTCTTTTATTATTTTTTAAAGCCATTTGA